ACGGATATTACGAACTGACTGCAACCCCCCTTCCCCATCCCCTGTGCTGCTCGGGGGCAGGAGGTAAAGGAGTTGGGAGTGAAGGAGTGAGGTTGTGCCTGGGAAGAAGGGGTGGGGGATGGGGGAAGGTGTTTTTTAGTTTTGACTTTGCTACTCACCGTCCTACCCTATTTCTGAATGGCAATAAATGAAATTAATTTTCCCCAAGGCGAGTGTGTTTTGCCTGTGACGGTAATTGGTAAGCAACCTCCCTGTCCTTATCGGGACCCACGAGCTTTTTCGTCCCATTTCCTCCCCCTGTCCTGCTGAGGAGGGGGAATGAGAGAGCGGCTTGGTGGGCACCTGGCAGCCAGCCAGCCAGGGTTAACCCGCCCCATCAGCAGAGGTTCGTCACCTGCCTCCTGGCTCTCTGCAGCCTGGTGTAAGCTATGCGACTTCTTTCCACCCCGCTATGGTCACATCCCAAGACAGTTAATGGCTGGCGCATCCAGCCCCCGTTCTTTCTTCTCTCAGCGCATTTACAAGCAGCTTTTAAAGAACAGAGGGATTTATTGGCATCTTTGCCCCGGCTAAAGGTCCCGGAGGGAATGGAGTCTCGTGAAAGAGGGTGGGCAGTCGCTGTCCAGGTGGTAACGCAGTCTCTGTCGCAAGCCTCCTTGCAGCGAGCGGCCTCTCCGGCCACCTCATGCTCTCTCTTTGGCTCGCTCTCTCTTCGGCCACCTCGCACTGCTGGTACCACTGACGTCTGCCTACTCCATGCTCACAAACGTGTCCGAGTTGCCTTGCTGCACCGCCAAGATCAGCTCAATGGAGAGGGGTCTCTCGAAGGCGTTGGTTAGCTTGAGCTTGCAGAAGCGTGTGGAGGGCAGCACCGTTACCTTGCCCGTGGTCATCAGAGGCGCAGCAACGCAGGCTGCTGTCATCAGCTCCTGGAGCCAGAAGGTGGTTTTCTGCACGTTGAGGTACGAGCCGGTGCAGAGGGTTTGTAGGAGGCTGGCTTCCTGACTGCTCATCAGCTCGTCCTCAGGGTGGTGGAGGAAGCAGAGCGTGTCCCCCAGCTGCTGCTCCCCTGTGCACATGCACTCCAGCTCCACACGCAGGCGGGAGCTCCTCACCAGCATCTCCCCTTCGGTGCCCAGCTCGAGGTGGAAGGAGTGCCCGGGGGGTGGCTTCAGGGGCACAAGCAGGCGACAGACAAAGTCTTCTCCACAGGCATTCCAGCCTTCTAGGGAGCCGCCCACCCCGACAGCTGGCTGCAGCCGCGGCATGAAGTCGTCACCGGAGAGGATTCGGCAGACCCCGAGAAGGTCGTTCACCAGCTTTTCCCCCACTGTACGTTTCCTTTGCCTGTTCAGCAGTGGCCACGACGTGTACTCGTCCGGAAACCTCTCCGTATATAATGCCTCTTCCTCCTCCTCCTCCTCCTCCTTCTCCTCCTCCTCCTTCTCCTCCTCCTTCTCCTCCTCCTTCTCCTTCTCCTTCTCCTTCTCCTTCTCCTTCTCCTTCTCCTTCTCCTTCTCCTTCTCCTTCTCCTTCTCCTTCTCCTTCTCCTTCTCCTTCTCCTTCTCCTTCTCCTTCTCCTTCTCCTTCTCCTTCTCCTCCTTCTCCTTCTCCTTCTCCTTCTCCTTCTCCTTCTCCTTCTCCTTCTCCTTCTCCTTCTCCTTCTCCA